CTCTCTCTCTCTCTCTCTCTCTATTTCTCGCCACACATGGAGTTGCATCCACTTTCTCATCAGACTCTTGGCTTCTCAGAGGAGGGTATAGAGCATATTCCTGTGAGAATTGTTGAGAGTTTTTATTGCAGCTTTGTCCCTTCGCTCTCTGTGTCTGCCATGTTTGTTTGTAAAATGTTGAAAATATTGTTGAAATAGTAAATAAACCATTTCAGTGTAATTCAGTCCATTAATTAAACAGTATTTATTAATGCACTTAGCGTTGAAACAATTAAGACAATTAACCATCGTATACAATGGGGTCTGAGGGACTGCATAACGTTCTTTTTCAACAAATCACCATAACCTCTCCCAAGGAGATTGTGTTTTCATCTCCATTGGTTTGTTAATCTGTCAGTGCGCAGGTTTAACGCAGAAACTACTGAACGGATTACAATGAAACTTGGAAGGATGAGGTCAGGAAAGAAAAGTTTCAATTTTAAAGAGGGCCTCCAGTCCAGCTGAGCAAACTGAGGGTTAAAGAACAGTACAGTATATCAGTGCTTGGTGTTTACTTGAATGGGGCCTATACCAGAAAATGGTTAGGTTACATTTTAATGTGCGGAGAGAAAGAAAGTCTCAGCTCATTAGACTGAATAAGCAGATCCATATGGACGCATGCAGCAGATATATGTGTTGTGTTGTTTTGTCTGAGTCAATATACTGTTTGGAGCGCGGCCCACTCCTGCAGCCACAGACACAGAGACACAGAGAGGGGAAGAAGGCAGAGGGAGGATGACAGAGTGAGTGTACGGGGGAGAGACGCAGAAAAATGTCAGTAAATTTATTTTGTGACTCACAGGGTCTGCCTGGACCTCACTGCTCTCCATGCTGCTGGGGTGAGCAGGCCCTCCACACCCACCCACACACCCGATCACAGTCACACGAGCATTGATTTTAGCATGCACGTCGGTGTGCACACACCTAACGCTTACTCTGCTGAGATGAGCGCTAAGAAACATATCCAGAGCTTTGGCCTCAGGTTTGGGCCAAACACGACTGTGCCATGCCAAGAATAACCTCTTTGTGTGTTGCTCTGCACCCTGGCTCACCTTGTGCAAGTATACCATACTAGATTTCTGCTTAGTATTCATGATGTGTGCATGCCAGTAAGTGTGTGTTTCCCTATACGTGTGTGCATGTGTGCTTGTGTGTCTGCAATAGGTTTAAGATGGGGTCTCTCCCAAAACCAAATGTCACAGGGATTTAAGTGCTGAGAGTGAGTTTACTCCCAGCTGACTGATGAAGAAGTTCACGAAAAGCACAAGATTAAACAGAGTTTAAACTTCCCGTGGCAACACATCCACGATGCAGCACTCAGGTTTAAAGATGAGCTGCAGGGCATGAGCCAAACCTGAAAGGAAGATGGAGGCAGGTAAGGAAGGAGAGGGAAGAAATGGAGGATGGGAATGAAGAAGAGGTACAGACATGACACCTCTTCTGTTAATCTAGTGAGACGTCAGCCACCTGCATTCTTCTTAGACTTCATACATGCACAGGTAGTTCTTTCACAACTCAGTCTCTGCCGTGCTCTCTGGCCCACCCTGTTGGTCGGAGCACGTCAATGGACCACAGTCATGTTTGTTGCTGGATTTGTGTTTATGAGATGCTGCATGTGTTGTCCAGTTTGTTTACTCCTCCTAGTGGCCAAACTCTGCATCACAACTCATGGTAACCTCTGAAGAACGACACAGACTGACCTTTAAAAAGTTGCCATCCATCATACAGATTGTAATTCAATGAGTCAGCTCCTGTCATTTGATTGGCTGTCACCCAATGCTGTGATGTCACCATATGGTTTGATGAAAAAATGGTATTTTCTGTATTATTGTCAAAACACTTTTCTCAAGAGGACTCGAGTTACAACGAGCCCTCCACCAGCAAACAATTTGGGACAGTAGTTGTTTTTTATAAAAATTGTGGAAATCACATATTTTGATGAAACTCTTCATACACAGTTCAAATGAGAAAATGTGAATTTTCTTTATAAAATAAATAACTATTTTATTGATATTGAGACGTCAAGTGTAATTGAAGAAAATAACATTTTCAAATAAAATTCAAGTAATAAATACGTTGATGAACATGGTTTTAATATGGTGCTACACAATGTTTAGGTTAAACTGATCCACTTTAAAATAGCTTTCCCTGCAGGCTGTAAAACGACTCAACAGAACGTTAAGAGGCAATTTGTTCAATATTCCAAAAACATTTGGCCTCACTTTTGTTACATTGTTAACAGTAGTCTCATTCATTTTTTTTTTTGTAATTATAGTCATTAGAACCTGCAGAAGCAGAGCATTCATTCACGTGGTCTCCCAGAGGTCACAGTGAAAACTGAAGTAGCTGCATTTGATGGTGTGTTTTATACACGTTACGCTGCCATTTCAGTTTGTGAGTAATATGTAGTCCCATGAAATTAAAAAATATCTCTAAAAAATGTATTTAAAAATATATATTCAAAATAATTGCTGTAAATTGTGTAATGGTTTCATATTGTCCATTTGTTTACCTGTGTGTCACTGTGCACATTGGATATCACTGGAGAACAAAGAGGGACACAGCATGGGACAGTGTAATAAGTATTTTATTGCATTTTATAATGCCATTGTCAATAATTAGTACAGATTACATGCAACTAGACCTACTGTACAGTTTTTTATTGTCTGCATGGACAGACACAAGAAGATTCAGGTTACAAATACACAGATATATGTGTGTGTTTTTATACAGCATGAAGGAAAGGGCAGTGACTGGCATTACATGGCTACCCGGGGTGGAGGGTCCGAGGGCTGGGCTCCACTGTCTGTCTAAAGCCGTGGTCCAGTCCCTGTCCCCGCCTCCTCCTCGGCTCACACTTTCAAATAACAAGAAACAGAACAAAAAAACAAAAACAAAGGATAAAGAGAGGTAAGCAGGTAAACTGAAACTAAGAAACAATAGAGAGTCACTGCTGAAAATGTACACACATTCCTAAGGTTTAACCAGAGGAGAAATGAAGTGGTAGTTCCATTGGATTCTGGCTGTCTACTTAATAATACCATCAGGCAATGCTCCGCTTTGAGAGTCCCTTCCCCCTCATGTGACACCTCAGAACTGTCCAATCACACATCAGGATCTGGGTTTCCCACGTCCTTTGAGTCACTCGCCAGCCCAAGCGGACACAGACTGGATCCTACAACACCAACACGTGGATGTACGAGAGATAACAGCTATCTGTAAAGGTGATCAGTGAAGTCAGAGAGTTTTGGAAGTAGCTCAGCGTTTGTTTGGTTACGTTTGTGGCATTGGTTTGGTTACAGTTTGGTTACAGTTCAGGGGTTTGGACTAAGCAATGTTTGCTCGCAATGCCTTTGGTAGTCAGAGGATGAGCTGCATCTCTGAGAGCCGTTCCACATTTTGGTATTGAGACTATACGCAAAGAGGAGGAGTATCAAAAAACTGCAACAGTGTCAGTCTTGGATCTGCAATCGCGGGACGGGGAGATGCGGTTTGCGCCTGGTCACCGGCAGCCGGGTGCGGTGTGACTCAGCAACAGCCCCATTTCACCTGCAGACGATTGACAGCTCTGCGGGGTCAGAGTTCAGCACAGGAATGACAGGGGTCAGGGGTCAAAGGGAGGGGGTCACAAGGAAGCTGGGACATATATTGGCACCTGAAAGGACCAACAGCAATACCTTTCTAGAGCTCTGCATTTTTTAAAGCAAGAGAGGGGCTACATATTCTTACATTTTTTTCCTCTTTCTCTTTTTCTTTTTGGAGGTTTTGGTCCTGTCTTTAGAGAAAAAGTCCTTCTGAGGTATCAATACATAATGAAGTAACTTTTTTGTTTTGTTTTCCATTTGTTTTTTTTCTTTCCTTAAAAATGCATAAATGCAGTACAGAGACAAAAAAGTATCAAAATAGACCTAGCTAAGATAAATATACAAACAGGTGTTACCTAAACCACTGATCTAACTTTTATCTTTTAATTTTTTTAGAGATAATACACTTAAAAAATCAGCGTCCCAGACGTTTTATGAAGAACTGAAAAAATGGAAACAAAAAAACCTATTAAAACCAAGATATCTGCAGCACTTAATATGATAAATACATATACTTCAGCATTAGCAGTACAGTATAGGAATCAGAGCTGAAAGCTTTACAATAGCTAAACAGGTGCAGAGGAGAAAAAAAAACAAACAAACCCCAAAAAAAGAAGAGAAAATGAAAGGACAAAATGAGAAAGAATGCCCTGGAGGGATAAGTCAAGCACTAATATACAAGAATACATCATGTTATGCCAAGCTGGAGAGAAAAAAAAACAGAAGTCTTACATGGCGACCTGTGAACAATCTACATCTTTATAAAACAGCTTTGTTTACAGGTGTACCTTAAAGCACGAGTCAGAGATCATCTATGTACTGGATGCAGCAGTTCCTCTTGGTTTGGATATTACTACTAGTAGTGATGTTTCATTAAGCGTCTCTGCGAGTGTTTTGGTGATGAGTGGGGGGGGTGACTGCTGTGGATGTGGGTCTTTGGATATCTGGATGGTCAGAGCCTCTGTTTGCACTAACCCATAGCCCTGCGTCTATGCTTCCTGTGTGTGTCCCTGTGTGTGTGTCTGATATATTCTGCCCATCATTACCCCTGACAGCCAGCTCCCTGCAACGCCACGCTGCCATTAACGAGCGGCTTCTCATTGGCTGCCATCATTAATATGCACACATACAGTCGAAGCACGCGGTTCAGAGGCTGCTCACATAGCTCAGTGCTAATCAGGTGCAGGAGCACGGTCAGGTTCACACAGCTGATAGAAAACTTTTATGTAAGTAGCGATCGCTTCACAACACACTTTGAGACATAGAGAGTGCTTTAGATGTGGTTTAAAGGAGAGGTAGTCGTTTTTAAATTCCATGGAAAGTGAAACATCTCTATGTTTTTGGGCTCAAGCAGATGTGATGGGGAGTCCGGATCACCAAATAGCTTTTTTTTTCTCGTCAGTCATACAGTAAGCGCAACGCAATTTTGGCATTCATTATTATCATCAAGGAAGAATGGAGAGGAAAAAAAAACCATATTCTAAGAGAGTTCAGTCTCCCATTGGCTATGTGTTGAACTGTTTTTCGAAAAGGAGGTAGTGTTATTTTTGGTTTTTATTTTTATCTCGTTTCAAGATGTCTGTCTGCCACTTTGTACTTTATCAGAAATCAGTCTCTAATGTGACAGGAAACAGTCCTGTTTGAACACAAAGTCATCAGAAAGGTTGGTTAGTTAAATAAGAGTGCAAGAGTTAGTTTGACAAAAAGTATGAAAATATGAGCCCAACTGTGAATCACATGATGTCCCTTGGTTGTTTTTCCTTTTACATTGGTATAGTTTTTAGTTTGTCCCTAATATTTATTTGGATTTGTTAAAAGAACCTCCTCTTTCTGTAAACATGACATACAGATTAAGAGAGCATGTTTGTTTCCTGATTTTCAAACTAAAATTTGTAAGCTATGACAGCACCAGAAAAACAGCTTGTTAAGCCAAGTGTTTAACTTCTGTATTTGTTACATGTGCACAAACACATCATGAGTGCCTCATATTCAGGTCTGCTCACACTAGTCGGGCTAATCCTTGGATTGTTTGGAATACAGTTTAGCCTGAGAGTGGGAGTTTCACATCTAAGTGCTATTTTCTTTACTCTTTTTTTTTCGAGGAACTGCGGGATGTTTATTAATACTAGTTTGTTTTTTTTGGCCTCATACCTAATGTGAGTTATTCATAAACACTTATGTAAAAAGCTTTCATGTCTCCAAAGTCTAGTTTGCTTCACACACTTTGGTTTTTGGAATGGTCAGCACTGTAAGTCATGTATAATTTATGTGAATACAATAATAGGAAATTCAAACTCCTGGTTTGTTGTCTTTTGGCCAGTTCTTTAAGAGGAAGAAGAAAAAAAGGGGGGAAACTCAAAAAGGGGCAAAATAAACTACAGGGTTTTTGGTTTTCTACATATTTCTTTGGTTACCTGTAACAAAAATAAAAACGGGAACAAGCAGATAACAGATTCAAATAAATGTTAAAATTTGGTATGGCACTGTAGAGAAAAGTAATGCTTTGATGCTCACAGAAAACAAAAGGAAAAAAAATCTCATGTGCTATTCCTTAAACACAAACTCACACAGTGAATTGCAGATAGCTTCTACACAGTAACAATTACAACCATAGAGCTTTGAGTCTGAAGCCGAGCAGAGTTGCCACATTTGTTGTCCCACAGAAAGAATTCCCCTTTATTTCTTTATCAATTTGGACACAGTTCCAGGCGGAGCCTTCGTGGGATGAGGTATTCTCTGACTGCAGTAATAATATATATTTTTTTAAGCATTACTTATATTTCTCAACTAAATACACAACCGAAAAACAAGTGAATGAGAGAGAATTAACACAAAAATATTCAGCTGTTAAATAATCTGTCTGGATAATGGAAACTTTAAGTGCTATTTCCAAATTTCTTGCCTGCTACACTTGGGACAGAAATGGGAGAGGGGCGGGGTCACAAGTTGGGACAATACTGCGCTTTCATTTCTTTCTCTCTTTTTTTGCCAAAACTCATTTGGAATGGTGTGAGCAACCAGAGTAAATCAAACAAATTACAACACAAAAACAGAAACAGCATTCTTAGAAAAGGTACGTTGAAACAGAACGCCACCATGGAAATATTGATCCTCAAAAAATGATAATAACATCGTCAACATAACATCAAATAAAAAAAAAAAGGAAATGACAAAAGCTACCACACGTTTTTTTCTTGTTATACTCCATAATCATGAACAGTTTTCTTTTTTAGTCACAATATTTCTGTAGATGCTTCCTCCCTCTTTTCTATCAGCCTCCTCTCTTTTTCTTCTCGCTCGTCAAGTGTTCCAAGCTCATCACTCCATCCGTACACGGAGGAGAGGAGAAGGACAGCACCAAATGGTCCTATTCCTGCATTATCTTTTGGGGGGTGTTGGTTGGGATGTAGGTGGGTTGGAAATGTATTTTGCTTCCTCACTTAGAAGCAAAGAGTTTAAAAGATGCCCAGCACTAAGTGTCTTGCTGGGGGCAGAAGTTTCGGCACAGACCGGGGCCGCACCGCATCTGTTGGTTGGGTCGGTGTCGTCAAGGGCTTGGAGCACTGTTGGAGGTAATCTTTAAAAGCACTCTTCCTTCCTTCCTTCCTATCTCGAAGCCCAACAGTTTCATTTCAATTAAATCAAACAAAAATGAAAAAGCAAGTGATTGACTCAAAGAGGGGGAAGAAGGAGAGGTAAACTGCACAGCCCCTGATGACTGCTCCAAATCTATATACACATGATCCTGTGTGTCTTTTTTCTTTCTGACACACACTCACACACGCATCGGTGTGTCTTCTCAACTGACGATTAGAGATAAAGCGGCTAGCCGGGCAGCCCGAGACGACAGTGAGGAGGTTGTATGCAGAGTGGTGGGGCGAGGAGAAGAGAGTGTGTGTGTGTGTCAACGCCTCTAGGGGTCTCTACACAGAGGCTGATGTTACCAGGGAGGATAACGAAACATGGTGAGACATGAATGAGTGTGTCTGTGTGCGTATTTGTGTGAGTGTGTATGCATTAAGTGGTGTTACACCTCTGAGCCAAGTGTCGGAAAAGAAACACATGGAGGTAAAGCAGTGCTCCACAGACTTCTCTTTTTGTGTCTGAAAGTAACGGAGGTCATCTAACCCTGTTTGGTGTTTCTCGATGTCGTCCTTGGTTGCTTGCATTTTCTTCAAAACAAAACAAAAAAAACATTCTCTTTTTTTCTCTCTTTTTCTCACAAGTGTACTGTCGCAATTTTTTCCTCTTCACGCTGACAAGAGGGCTCGGGGGGATTGATCTCGCTGTGTGTCCCGTCCCTCTGGTCCGTTCTCGGATCTGTCCTACTCCAGCTCCTCTGTGGGAAGATCCTCCTCCAGGTCGCGCTCGTCGCTCGGCAATGGCAGGCTGTGTGTGACACCGGCCAGGAGGGATACTGGCCGACCGTCCTCATCCACCTCAGTAGGCTCCTCCTTCACATGCACCGGGTGGCTGAAGGAGATAGAGCAGGCTGACATTAGAAAAGGAAAAGGGGAAGTTTTAAAGAGCATATGACAGTAGCAGACTTTCTATCTTGATGACACTGCTGCCAAATATACTGATGCTAATTATGCTATCAACTGACCCAGGTAGTTTTATTGTGATTTGCTCAATGGAAATTACAAGTCATGCAGGCATGGTAATCACCGCCCAACAACTTCATAATCTAACCTAATCTAATGTTTGATTTAGGAAAATATGATGTGGCTACATTATGATGTGGTGAGTGGAGGCTACTTTGGTAGAAAATACCAGAGTAGAAAACTCGTAGAATCATTGTCATATTATGTTCAGCCTAAAATAAGAGCAAAGCCTAGACATTTCTTTTTAAATATTGCACATATGAACATCCAGTATTTCATGCAATAAAAAGCATCAGAGACAGCACAGCCGACAATCTCCAGTGAAAGTAGACTCATTTGAATTTTAGATGAGCAGTATCTTAAAGCAGGGAACAAACATTTTCCTCAGATGTGTTAGATTCTGTCCTGTCCTGTAAAATTCCCTTAAATTACACGGAAATGATTTCTTATATGGAATTGATTTCTCTGGTAAGTCATCAGTAATATCAGTATTGCTATTGCACCATCACTCCTGTATTTAGATCCACACTGATAAAAATGACAATAATAGTTTGACACTAAGCGTTGTGCAGACAGTAATTATTCTTATATTCAGGTTAAAGCAGTTTTGTCGGCTTGAACATGTGTATGTGTGTGTGTGTGTGCATATAGTAAGTACCTGTACTGGTGAGGGCTGAGCGTGGGGCTGCAGCTGCCGTTACTGTTGACCTGCTCCACAGTGGAACTGACATCGTCGTGGCCCACGTGCAGCATGTTGAGGCTGGCTGCAGATGGAGGGGTCACCAGGGGAGAGCTGTTTAGCAGGGACAGACTGCTCTCTGCCAGCGCCGCCTATACACACACACACATAAAGTCAATTCAAATTGTTTGTTTTCTAAAATTATAACATATCAAATTAGATAAGAAAATGAATAAATGAATAAATAAATACATGGATAATAAATAAAACACTGTCCACCAGAACCAGAAACATTGAACTCATTATTATTTTAATATATTTAAACATTAATACTCAAAGTTTGTTTATATGTTCAATTGACACATCATGTAAAACAGCATAGTAAATGTTCACAATGACTGATGAGTGTTTCTTAATGTGCTGATGAGAGCTCTTCCTCATGGGGAGCGTTTGAATCCACTCACTTGCTAGTTCACTTGACAAACCACTAGGGGGCACTTATATACAGTACTTTCCACACCATAGCTTGTACCATAACATTTAAGTCCCTGTCACAAGAGTGTGTGTGTGTTCCAATGAAGGAACGTGGAGAGAACCTGACTAGAACACACACGCAGTGAAACAGAGGAAAAAACAAGTTAAACAACTGGAGCAGCTTCTGTCAGTCACAGCTTTCTGATTTAAACACTCTCATCCAGCTGCAGATGTGAGGCGGACTCTACCTTCACTGCTCACACAGGAAATAAAGTGCGGTAAAGCCAGAAGGAGTGGAACTCTCATTGGCTCAGAGATGGATTTTCTGGGACATGTGATAATTATATGCAGTAACCTTAATTGACAACTACTTGACGCTATAAATCATCTCAGTCGCAAAATTGCAAGCTTGTGTGGGTTTGGTGTGAGATGGGTCGAGTGTGTGCGTGTGCGTGTGTGTGTGTGTGTGGAGGTGGGGTGGCGTGTGTGAGAGAAAGTGAGGTGGGAGGTGAGAATGTGTGTTGATGTGGGAGAAGGAGGTGGCGTGAATGTCGTTAGGGAATCTGCTAATTATGAGAGGGAATTGATATCAGTGCCCTTGATTGCGATTGGCTGCCCTGTGTGTGTGTGTGTGTTGGAGGGAGAGAGGAAGAGAGAAAGAGGAGCAGAGGGCATTCCTTACCTGGTAGCTAGCGTTTAGGGATCCAAAGCCCAGGCCTGAAATCATGTTTTTCACCAGAGTGGGACTTCTACACACACACACACACACGTACAAGGGGAAAGAGAGAGAGAGAGAGACGGGTTAGAATCGCAGATTAATTGCACATGTGGAAAGATGTCACCTCAGCCAAAGCGCTCTGACAAATCGCACAAATATGTTTGTTACAAGTAGAAACATACACAGACTGTAAACAGATGCTAAAACACACACAGAGAAAGTGTTTGATATCTGGTGTGCAGGTGTGTGTGTGTGTGCGTGTGTGTGTGTGTGTGTGTGTGTGTGTATGTGCACGTAATTATCCCTGGTTTCACTGGCGGTTGGAGAGAACATCTGTTTACACATGCTAACAAGGTTTTTTGCTCTCTCTAGCATCTCACACAGCTGCTTACTAATGGTGTCGACAAACAGGGAAAACACACAAAACACACACACCACACATACAGTACATACACAAGTCAGCAGCACTCTTTTTCTCAATGATTGCTGAGTTGGCCTCTTGGTAATAATAGAGGGACCATTTAGGCAATCATCGTGCCAGCATCCATAAGCTCACACTCACATCTCAGTCCTCTTAAATGTGTGTGTGACAGTGTGCGCATACGTGTGTGTGTGAGTGCATGTATGTATATGACTGTGTGCGTTCTTACCCGGTCATCTTTGGTGGTCTCCTCTTTTGGTATTCGACTTCATCCACAGTCCACACGGCCCCCTTCACGTTCTCAACACGAACAAAACACTTGTGCAGACTCAGGTTGTGGCGGACAGCATTCTGGGAAAAGGGAGAGACAGAAAGAAAAGACAAGCTTTATTCGGACTGAAGGCCAATCAATTATGTTTTATATTTATTCATTTATTTACTGTTTTATTTCTGCCACCAAGGAGATTGCCTTTGATTGTTGGATAGCAGGATTATGCAAAAACTACTCAACTGATTTCCATGAAATTTTGTGGAGGGGTGGGGCATGACCCCAGGAAGAACCCATAAAATTATGGTGTGGATCCACATCAGGGAGCAGATCCAGAATTTTTTTTCTCTGTCTTTATCATTGCAAGACGGATTTTTCAACATTTTTATTGATTGTAATTCATGGTGATGAGTAATTCATGGATCTTGATGAAAAAAGGAGAAGACAGATATTTTTGAGTTTTTGCAATTTGGTGTAGATCCAAATAAAAATCTGGATCTAGGAAATTTAAAAGTGGTTTCTTAAAGGGAGTGTTGGGCCTTTGCATGGCTTCTAGTTTCGTTTCTGCATTTTATTTTATTTGCACGAAATATTTTTCCTTTGGACTATTTACACAGAAATTTCAATTTTGTTAAATCTGCATTTGTTCTTTCTTTTCCCACAGCTCATAAATATTCCAGCAAACTGTAAGGCTGGTTTATAGTGGAAGCAATCCCCTAAAAACTACATTTTAATGCAAAAATGGAATGAAATAACAAAAAAATAACATTGTGAACTTTTCCTGTTCACAACTTTTCCTGGTGTTGCCTGATAACCTAACCTCTAAGTTGTTTTTTGTCTTAAACATGCATCTTCAGCTGCCACAATATTCCATGATTTTCAACATGAACTCAAAACATGAACTGTTATTTTTGAAGTCATTACCTTGCTGGAGGTAAGAACACTCACTCAGCGTGTGCTCAGTACAAACAATGCTTCTCAGCTTTTTGTAAGGTGACTTTATACGAAGTGTCACCAGAGAATAATGGTCCTTTTTTACCCATCACTTCTTATAAACACACACACACACTGTAGCTCCATGTACAGTGCTAATGCAAGGCAGCAATTCTCTAGTAGCGTTATTTTATCTTAGAAAATGTATAATCAGTCATCATCAGCACACACACATGCACACAGACACACACACAGACAGACACAGGCACTCAGACAGGCAAGCAGGCAGGCACACCGCTATCTTTGTCTCACCCCCCCAGGGACAGGCCTCCCTTTTCATCTGCTATTTGTAGTTTGTTCATGCCCAATTTCATTACCAATTTTAATTCGTCTATAATTAAATCCTGCATATTCTCTCTGACACGCTGTTCTAAGCCGAGAGAGAGGGACAGGCCAGGCATGCATCACTCCACGCCATAATTACACACACACACACACACACACACACACACGCGCACACACACACACACACACACACACACACACACACACGTAATTACACAAGCCATAATCAGCAGAGGAACCCTTTCTCCCCCGCATCCCCTCAACCCCCGAGCTGTGATGCTAAGTTTTGTAAATGAGTCTGACCCCAATCTCTGCCCGCCACCCTGACAGTGCAAACACACAAACACACACACACACACACACACACACACACACGCTTACGCCAGACACCGGTGCTACTGCAGTGCTATTTGCATTTGTCTCCGTGATGAAAGCCTAATTCTCCCAGTTAAAACATTGGCAGTCATTTACAGTGGGTCGCAGCACATGTGCCACTCATCTCCACTCCCTCAGGCTGAGAGGGGGGCAGGGGCTGGACACAGGTATATTTTTTCGACTTGTGGATTGTATACAGTAAATATCTGAGATCTGTATCCGCAGTCCAGTTGTGTTTCTGCCTGTTGCATGATGGGATGGGCTCCTAGCATATGATCGTAAATAGGATATATGTGAGCAGATAGGATGATAAATAAAACCATGAACAAACAAGCATGAAATGAGTGATAACGTAACAGGTTAGAAAAAGGATTTGTAAATTCCTTTCCTAAGTGAAAAAGCGCATTGAAAATATTGATATTCCAATATTTAAGTCAGACCCTTCAGAAAAACCAGTGTTACCTTGACTATTAATACTATTGTTTGTCATATTACTACTGATGCTTGAATATCAAAGTAGCCTGTTACAGTTATGTAGTTGTAATTCTAAGTTTTGTATGATGTTGTCTATGATATGTATCTAAATTCACAAAGTAACTTGTAACTAAAGCTGTAAAATAACTGATTAATATTAATACTTTTTTATTATTGAGATGCATGATTTACATTCCACCACTAGAGTTCAAAGTGAAGCCTCTTATAAAGCACTAATTGGATTTTTAATCCCATTTATTTAATTCTCATTCCTAGTTATTGTTATTATTTGACTCATAAATCATAGTATTATTATTATTGCATATTACAATTTTACATGTGGCCTCAATTTACCCCTCAAGTGCATCTAGAAAAAAAGAGTGACAAACAGAATGAAACCTTTTCTTTCAGGCTTCCGTCTCATTATGTAGCACCTTGAAATAACACTCATCTCTCCTCCTCCCTCAATCATCCCTCTCTCTTTGTCTCTCCCTTTCATCTCTCATTCTCTTTCCCTCTGTTTCTCTGATCAATGACTTCCACTCCCTGACACCACTGCTCTCCTCATGAAATATAACAGCTTATTAAAGGACATACATCTCTGTGGCTCTATTCGACTCTGCGAGCCGCTATATAAATACATAAGGCCGCGCGGCAAGCTATATTTAAAGGTCCGCGAGGCCAACGGCACAGGAAGCAGACACCAGACATTAATAGTTAAAATTCATAAAAGTCAGATGAGGAAGTAAAGATATTCCTGGCTGCCCCCGTCTCTTAACCCCCTCCACACCAAGCTGTCGTCCCATCACCTCCCCTCCCTTGGTTTTAGGGGCTATTAGAGGAAGGCCAGGGGTCTCTCCTCAACCCCTCCTCCCCCACCACCTCCCTCTCTCCCTGCTTTGCTCTTTCTCTCCCTTTCCCTCTCTCTGGAGGAACTGACACTCAAATTAGTGTGAGGTTTCTTCAGAAATGGGTCAGCACCTACGATCAGGCCAGTGGTGTGTGTGGGAAAGAATTCAGTGTGTGTGCACCAGCTTTGTATGTGCATTTCTATAATGAGGCTTTATCACGACTAGATGTGGCTCTACTAGGACGAGCGGGCCGACTCTCCATGTGCCATGTTCGAGGTGAGAGAATAGTTTATGGCTGAGAGGGAGAGAGATGGAGAGAAAGAATGGAATAAAGAAGGATGGAGCGAATGAGGAGAAACGCAGGAAAGCTTCTCATAAAGAACAGAAACAACCATTAACTGTCATATCAGTCATATCTTTTGCAGAGCAGAGCAGAGTCAGCGTTTGAGGAATGAAGAACAAGAACGTGTGTGTTCTTGAATCATTGTAAGAACGTTTTTTATTACATTTAGGCCCACAGAGCGACTCCATTTTCTAAAAAGTGACTCACTTGGCCTCAGTGTTTCAAATAACAGTAAAACCTGCCGACTAATTTTGTTAATTTTTTTCATGGTCGAATAATTTGCAACTGGCATCAACTTTAGCGAGGGGTTTCATCATTGGGCAAAGACCACATTTAGCTCTGATTGAGTCTGATCCTAAGTCCAACTTACAACATTTTCGAAATACGCTGCTGTTCATTTCATAACCAAATACATGTAAATAAGATAAGATAAGGTCAAATAAAAACAATATTGATCCCCTGGTGGAAAATGTAGCAAGAAAATAATATGAATAGAAACAGAATCTGGAATAAATAAGATAAAAAATAGAAATACTATACACAATATTAGTCTGTTTTATAAATGTGCAATATAAAGATTTGAGTCTTAGACTGTGGGGGCTGGGGTGTTATGCATTCTGATGGCACAGAGGAGCCCACCATGCACTTTGAGATACGTGGTTGTATGAGTCTGTGGCTGAGTGTGATCCTGAGCTGCCTCAGTTAAGCAGAGAGGGGGTGAGAGGGGCTGTCCATGATGGCTTTCAGCTTCTTCCTCTCATCCTCTTCTCCGTCACTGTCTCAAAACACTGTTCTGTTCCATCCCCACCAAAGAGCGGGCCTTCCTCACCAGCATGTTCAGTTTTTTAAGCCCCATTTGAAGGATTGGGTGAAAGTTAGGGAGTATATGATGTGCCCTTACCTTCCATGTGGCTGTGTTTCTCCTGAAGTAGGCAAACTTCCGTGTAAACCAGTTGTAGATTTCATTGAGAGTCAGCTGTCTGTCTGGGGACTCCAGAATGGCCTGAGGACAATAAGAGAGAGCGGACACAATGTAGAGGAGATCCCAGATGGAGAGAAGAGATGGTGGAAACGAGTCTGAGGGGAGACTTACATGACGTATAAGAGAGGCGTAGGTAAAGGGAGGCCTGACATCAGCGTTCTTGTAGAACTCACAGTTCTGAGCCAGCTCTGAAAAAACAGGAAACATCATAAGAAATGAACTGTTGTGAGCTGAGTGTGTCGTGCAACATTTATAAAATACAATTCTATGTAAATGTAAATACTAAAAAAGTAAGTATGATTCATCAAAATATTAAAATTGTGTCTGAAAAAATAACATCTAACAGTGTTTATTGAGTTGT